CGTATTGCGAACACCTCAGAGACGAGGGACCGAAAAGTGTGAGGAGATGCGCGTCGTGCAAGTAGGCAAATAAAGAGAAAACATAACGCCGCTAGAATTTGCCACACGAGCGAACTACTCGTAGTTTAGTTTTTTCGTTTTCAAACACTGCTCATTGACGGCTGCATGAATCGATGACAACGCGGCTGAAGCTGCGTCGAGCGATTTGATAATCGGCACTGCGTGAACACAGAGGCAAAGGTCATCAACCTCATTCTTCTCCTTATTTTCTAACTCTCATGGTGTTTTCTGCCTGTGCTGGGGATCCTTCGGGAACAGAAGGAAATTAATGGACATTAAAAATAAATGAGGAAACAGTGGCTTGCCGTTTGGGGCATTTACCCTGCACTGAGTTTGTGCAACGACGCACATCGACTAAAGTAATTTAGCTCGTGGTAGGATCAGAATCAGCAGAGGCCCTTTACGACTTGCTGCTGGATGAAAGCCTATCCTAGATCTTGCCACAAAATTCTGTAGCTCCACGTTGCTCCAACAAATTTCTTCAGGTTATCCTGTCTTTGATCCAGAGGTCTTCCCACGGACGTTTTGTAGATACTGCATTTTAATGGCTAAGTCGCTGCTCTTTATAATCCAACCTCGGCGACCTAGTCATAAAATGCAGTTCATGAGCCTTCGGTCAGCTAAAGAGGCAATGGTAAAAGGAATCGACAGGACTCCTTCTCTGTGTATTGTGAATCAGTTCCATCTAAAAGAAGGATGTTCTGACCACAAACTGACGGAAAAGATTCTCAGGGGTGGGGGGGATTTCTACTGTTCACGTTATTTCTGAAAGAAAACATGACGAAAATTGTTTTTCATCGTGCTATGTACTTTTGAACTGTGGAGATGTAAAGACTATTAGCGAGACGAATGGAAAAACCAAGCTATTCCTGATGGGAATGGAAAGAAATGGAATTCTTCGCGTAACTGAGATGGTCTAGAGCTCTAAATTCTGTTTTGTCCAAATTTGCATACTCATAGCGTCATGCTTCTGAACGACAAGTTGCCATTCTCACCTTACAGGGGTAATTACAACGTTTCATATGCTGTTGGTGCCATTGTTCGTAGATCTACGTTAAGAGAGTAAAAAGTTAGATCTCTGGCAGGGATTCGATAGCCTAAATCAGATAGAGGGGAAGATATTTAGACGAATAGCAGGCATTCATCTTTCGCATCGCACCGATCTTTTCGCTGAACGTTCTTAACACATTTTCAGGAACAACGAGAAATTCACGTAGCGATTGTGACCGTTCCCTGCTCTGCAGAAAGCTAACCCAGACGTAGCGAGAAACAAGCACAAATATCACGTGCCATTGAAAAATACATTTACTATCGGCTGCTAAATTATCGCAGTTTAAAGGTCCTCTAGAAAAAAATTCCATAACGGTCGAAAATGACAGTTAGGAAGTTCAATGAAATATGTTTAGGAAAATCATATTCACCGATGGTCATGAGTCTTCGACTGAAAAATTTCAATCCTAGATACAAACCTCTGATCAGGGCTTTCTAGGACGAATCACTGGGCTCACTTATGTCGACACGGTCCGGGACTGAGATATCTGAGAGGGCCTTGGTACAGGCGCT